CAACGCGGTCTGTACCGATAACAATGCGACGTGTTGGCCAGCGCTTAAATTTGGTTACTTAGGACGATCATCGATCGCCATCGCTTCTCACCCTGGGGCCTCGTTCCGGGCGCATAGACGATTAATTAGGTATGCTCGTTTAATTCCAATTTCCATTTCTCTCATGCGAGCGTGCGACGTGTAACGTCGCTTGTCTCAGCTTGAGAATCGGAAGGGCATATATTCAGCGTTCGATGGGGCTACCGTTCGGCAGCGTGCGGGCCTCCTCCCTCGCTTTTCGTCTGAGAGTAAGTGCGAGTTGCGTGGTATGGGCGAGGATGCGTTGTAAAAATAGCGCGTCGACCGCGTAATTTTTCCTGGCGGCAATGAAAATAAAAGGCGGCCTCTCTCTCTCTCTCTCTCCCCCTCTCATCCGAAGAGAGATCTGGAAGAGGAGCTGGAGCGGAGGGAGAATCTACGGTATTTCCGCCGTCTGTCTAGCGTGTATAACGGTCTCCGGTAACTCCGCTTTATTGGTACTGCGGAACGTTAATCCGCGGGGATCCTCCGCGAATGCCGGGCATTGTTTATTCCGCGACCGAGCCCATCTCGCGCGTAGAAATGACACCGTGAGCTTTATTAACCCATTTTGCCCGACATGTCCGTGCGCGCGCCGCCAGCGTCGCGCGCGCTCGTTCTCCGGGACAGAAAACCGGAGATCCGCCTCACTTTCGTCGAGGATTACAGATGAATTACGCGGACCCCTGAGCGAGCAATATCGAAACGCTCGCAATTTCTCTCCACTCGCGCCGCACTCAGCCCCGAATCAAGAGAGACGAAGTATCTGTGGCTTCCCCGGGTGTTACGGAGTAATCGAAGTTTCAGAGCTCACGGCAAATTTGTGTCTCGAGGGTAAAAAAGAAAAGCAGATCCGCTCTTATATTGCGTAGTCCCACCAAAAGTGGAAATATCCTTCTTCGAGTATTGTATTTGTTAACTCCTTAATACGCTTTTTCTCGACACCGCGGCATCGCCGCGGGGCTCTTCTTTATCCTCCTCGATTTGATCTCCTCGAACATTATTGTTACCGTGGCCCGACGGCGGATATATGCGCGTCCTGGTCTAATTTTCGGAATACTGGACTTAGATTGTGAAACTTCGCGCATTAATAATGCGCGCGTCTGGCCGCCACCGCACGCGCGCACCGACCGAGCTTCGATCGCGGTCCCGCGATGATATGTCATCGGCGACGAAGCCGATACATATAGATGTGCACGAAGCCGATGGGCCCTGTCTCTTAAGAGAGCCTTCGGGCTCGCGGGCGAAAAAGAGCGGCGCTTGTATTCTTAAGTGCCAGGCTGTCGATGTGAGTCACGAGACGGGAGCGCTTAAGGCTTTCGACACCGAGAAGCGAAAGCGGCGGATGAGCTTGGCTTATGGCGCTTATAGGATTTTCTACGACACTCGCTCGCGCCGTGAGGACGGCGTATTAATCGTCTGTAGAATTTTTACAACGTTCCTGATAGGGTCCGTGAAACTCAACCCTGCTTCCCGAACCGGCGAACCCTCCCCCTCTCTTTGAGAAAATTCCTCCTCGATTCTCTTCGCGAAATTTCGATCTTTCCTCTGCTCCTCTTCTCTCTCGACGTTTGCCAGCGTGTCATCGACGTGCAGCTTTATTCGATGCGCAGCGGAGACAGTTTTTAGGAAAATCCCCCGCTCTTTTTCTCTCGCGCCTGTGAAAACAGCGGGGCGCGAGTATATCCTCTTGTTGCGCCCTCTTTTGCTCCAGGCGCCCCATTGTGTATATATATATATATATATATCTCTCTCTCTCTAGAGAGATATCTTAACGGTCGTGCACTTCATCTTCTTTACTGTCTCACCGCTCTTATCAGGTTTCGCCTAGTGCCGCCGTAAAGATGTCACGATGAGAGCGCCATGATGACGACGACGACGACGACGACGACGACAATGATGATGCAGCAAGTGCAACAATGAAGATGCACTGCCGCTATCTTAATGTTAATGCGCGAAGCGGATACTCGAGCACGACTTACCTCATAACCTCGACTTCGACTTCGAACAGACGTTCGGACGTTAATACGATAATCCGCTCTTAGCTTCCGCGATCGTGCGCTCGCTAAAGCAGGTAGAGAAGAAGACGATCAAAGCGCTCTCAGCGAAGGTGTCTCGGGTGCATTCGACATCGCGGTCGAAGTTCCGAGTCGCAGCAGAAGCTGCGGATGATAATCCTCTCCGTGAATTTCGGCGACACGCTATCAGTTAATAATCCGCGACTAATGACTGCTACGAGCCGACTTGGGGGGCAAGTTCGGATCGCGCGCGACTATCGTGCCGAGTAATTACGCCGTGTCGAAGTTGGACGGTGTGGCGCTCGCTCTAAAGCAGGTGCATAATGCAAGAGGGAGAGAGGCAGAGAGGAGAGAGCGCGAGAAAATCTGCCCGAGCCGATCGATGCACGGCCAGGCGAGATACGGGCGAAACGCTCGGACTGCGAACGTATGCACGCACGCACGCACGCACGCACGCACGCACGCACGCACGCGTGCACACGAGCACGTGCGGGATCGTTGCACCCGGAAACCCTGTATTTGCACATCGAGTTACCATTCCCGAAAACAGAGACCGGAGAACACGATACGCGCAGCCATACAACGCGGCCCTCGCTTCTCGATCTCGAAGGTCCTCTCTCTCTGCGTCGTGTCTTGCCATGCCGAATAATCGAGCCACGCTCGCAGTCCGCCCGCGTACGCAAAGTGTACGCTCGAGCCGGCCCGCTGATTGGCGTCCTGCTCCGCGCCCCACACAATTCCGGAATCGATGAATAAAACCGGCCCTCATTATCGACGATCCACCGCGAGATTCCGCGAGATCGGCTTTCGCGGTATCGAGAGTATAGATGAGGAGGAGTAATTTCAGTCGGCGGAGATAAGTCTTATTAAATCTGGGACTTTTATCTCCTATTGTTCCTCCAAGAGATAGTCGGATTTGAAAACTTGGAAAATCTGAGCTCTGAGAAAGAAAACACTGTAAACGCAATTTGTGAGGATATAATTCTTTTTTTGGAAAAAACACGTCAATGGGGATGAGGAATATTTCGCAAATTGGACGTTCTTGGTGCCTCAGTCGGGCAACCGGTAACCGTGGTAAAATCTGACGGCCTACATCTGAAATTTCCACGCTCGCCAATAATTCTACAATTGCCAACGATTTCACGCGTTACTCGCGTCCGTGGCGTCTGCGAGGGCCATAATTCCCAGTTTATCGGACGCAGGAGTCGGCTGCGATGGTACATGTGAAAAATACACAGAGGATACACGTAGATACTTAATAACGACGGCCTGTGTGTCGCAGTCGACAGCCCGATGCGATAGCCGATCGCGGCACACGTGTGTCAACAAGTCACCTAGGTAGGGAGAGAAAGAGAGCGGCCGCTATTGTCGCGACACTTGACGACAAGAGGAGAGGTCCTGGGGACGCGCGAGCAGGACCGCCTGGGAGCACTATAGATCTCGAAGAGGAGACACCTGCCCGCATACGATGACAATAAATAACGAGGACGAACCGCCTGCGCCCCATCCGCGACCGCGTTTCCCCGCTTTTCCCGCTTTTACACGGCCGACACCTTCGGCGCGGAGCGGTCGAAATAGCCCGGGCTATATTTAGGCCGCACTTCGACAGCACGATCCTCCGGGGAAAGTCCATGTCGTCGACGCGCCGTCCGCCGTTTTTCGGGAAAGTAACTCACCAACCTCGTTACCGTCGACGCGTTAATACCACGGCCGCGCATTTTAGCGCGCCCGGTGACGTATGCGCCGAGAGGGAACGATGTCGTAAACACTCTCGCGGTGACCTTATTACATCTCTCTCTTGATGGGCCACGTCCATTTGCTCGTAAATGTGATTTCTTTCCTCTCTTTCTTTTCTCTCGTTTCGAACGTCGGGAAGGAACGTCGAGCGATGTACGCGGAGAACTCGCCCTGCGGCACTCGACTCGGCTTTCGACTCGGCGACGAATCTCGTTTACGCGGGCAACAATAATCGAGCAACGAGTGTCAAGCGCGTAAATATCTGGCGAGAATTACGGGTAAGCCACTCTGTGCAATTGCTAATAATTCTGCGTGTTGTTGTTCGTGCGCGTAGCGGTCGCGCCGCGGTGGGCAATAATTTTCGGCTTATCGGCCGAGGAGTCGGATGTGCGACGTTGAACCTATAAATCTCGCATAGATATCCATTATTCGAATAATTTTGCGCGCGCATGCCGCATGCTCTACTCGCTTAATTGCGTCTCCAACGAATTACCGTTAGCCTGGGCGGATGATAGTTGCGCAAAGTTTGCTTCAAAGTTTCCATGAAACGGTCTTCGACCGGCACGCTTGTGTAAGAGTAACGTATAGGATGTATAAATAACATGGGAGGGAGTCCCTATAGACACGACCTTCCTTCTTTTGTTTATTTGCCTTATGCATATACACTAAGAGCCGAATGAATAGACGAGCAGTTCGAGCTGATAAACACAGAAAAAAACAATAGACAGCAGAACGATAATATAATTCAGACGCCCGTCGGTGGAGGTCGAACGGGATACGGAGACGCGCCGAGTACCAGAACACCTTCGAGTCAGGCTTTCGCGCAATTACTTCACGCGATAATTGATTAAAAATAGCGGTCCGAATGGATACGCGCACATTCGAACCAAACTGGCGGGCAGTCGGAAATCTCCAAGGGAAAGCGCACGAGATGTCCCTCTCAGCTGCTAACTCAGATCACTTAGGTCATACCGGCCCCCTCCCCCTCCCCCCCCTCCGCCGGAAAAACGCACGGCGAGCCCGGTCTGGTGACCAAGAAAACATCTGAATCGGACCGGTGTCGAAGAGGAAATGCGCGACGACACCGGTATTCGGAATTAAGAGAAATCAACTAATTGTGTAAGGGAACAATGCTCGACCCCGGTCACCCGATGAACATTAGAAAACAATGGTTTGATTAACACTCACCAACCTTCTGCACGAGTGGTGACGGCACGTCTCTCTCGGGCGTCCAACAGCGACTAACTAACTGCCTACCTCTATCGCGACAGCCGTTTTTGTAATCCGCGTCTCTATCTTCCAAACGTAAACACATCGTTTTCCCCACCATTGACCTTACTGCGATCGTTATTGTTTTTCAACGCTCCGAATGCCCATTTCGGATTTTCATATGCAATACTCATATCTCGTATGATATGAATGATTAGGTATTAGAAGCAAGAATAAATTCAATATTTTTACAATTACAATTGTGCGCTTTTCTTCAAAGGTACACACAGCAACAGATCGACGGAATTTTTTAGAAACGGAAAAAGAAAAAGGGGCGAACAAGCAAGGAAAAAGAAAGGAAAAAGAATATCTGTCTCACACCTGTGAACGCGGCTCGGCCGCCACGCCAATTTCTCGGTTATTTCAATATTCAACTCGAGTTTGAATCGCCGAGAAATAACGAGTGCAATTTGCGGGCGTACACTCGTTATAATTCGCGTTTCTTCGACTCTCTATCGGCTGTATGTCGAGTTGTTGTATATAGTTGCTTGTGTTTCATCGGTGTTACGTAAATTAACGAAACGCGCGGCTGTCGTTGCGTTGTATAATTAATTTTACATTTATATTTTTAATTGTACATTTTACAGCGCCGACTGCACTGCGGCGGACGACCTACTAATCCATGACGTGAGAATTTTAGACAATAATTGGGAGAACGATAATACTCGAGCTTTTTGGAACGCGTTTCGAGCAAATTAAATTCGCTGAAAGATGAATAAGCGTTTTGTCGGCCGCGTCTCTCGCGTCACTATCCGCTATTCCGCGAGAGTGAAATCGGGGCCGAGGGATGCTGCTAATTTTACATGCACGTTGCTTAAGTAATCAGCCTTATCGTTCGCGGCGAATAATAACGCCACCAGCGGTGGTATCGCGATCGTCGCTTAAGTAATTCCCTCACTTACTGCGCGCGCGCGATGCGCGTTAAATTTTATGGCACACGACAAACCGCGGTAATGGACCGGCGCGCCCGTGCGCGACGCCGGCTGTATTTCGCGGTAAAGAACTTCCCCTGGAACTGAATATCCGCGCGTTCAAGGTATAATGAAGTCATCGTGCGAATAGAATTCGAACAAGCAAGTTCGGAAAGCACTCGGACTGGTGCGCGAGGCCATGCGATGTCTCTCTCTTTTTCTCCTCGCGCTGACGCTAACATTACATTTCAGTGTGAATTGCGATTATTCGTTAAACGGGAAAAATCTCGTATCTTCTCGTCGTCGTCGCTTCTCGCGATTTCCTTTCCCCTCCCCCCCCCCGCCGACGTTTATTCGGCTGCCCACGAGGTTAACGTCGAGTCGCGCAATTTTTTATTGGATTATAAAAAGGGAAAAAAATATTGCATGATACATCGTTGTACGTGCCATTATTTTTCCTACGCCGCCTGTGCGGCAGTGATGAAAATAGAGATGAATGTTTGCGCTGTAAACATTATTCAATATCGCCAGGCGGAAGATAAAATCGTCGGGGGATGTATCGGAGCAATTTATTGTTATATCGCGATAGCGATAGGATATTAACTTGTTGATCCCGATCCTACAATATCGCCGTGAAAATAATTTTCTTTTTCTCCTACCTCCCATTTTCTTTTCTCCTCCCCCCTCCCCCGCCTTTCGTCGCCTGGCCAGGTCGCAGAGAGCGCGAAATTAGGGGGAAACTTCGGAGGGAATATTTTTCAATTAACCATCTCGCCGAGAAGCTCGCCGAGAGCCGACAGTCCCGCCGGTGCGAATAGGTCGCGGCATTTTCTAACAGTTGCGGAAATTATTGAGCCGGCTTTAGAAGCTCGCAATGAAACTTGTGTGCGAGCTGACTCTTCGTTAAACAGAGACAAACAGAACCGGCGGGCGTAATTTCTGCGCGCGCTCGCCAACGGAACCAACTCGCGGCGTCGCTTTCCTGGCTCGCGCCCCGGCGAGAGGCCGGGCGCGGACAAATCGACCGGATAAATTAGCAGAATGCGAAGTACGGAGCGACGACGGTCGGAATGTGTGCGAATTTGAATCAAGCCGAAACAAATTGGAACGCGATCGGATCGCCGCGCGACGGGAATTCGCGCGATACAGACTCTTCCTCGCGCGCGCTCCTCTGGCGATCATCGATTTTGCCCGCGCCTAACGGCCGGCTTATAATTGCCTCTAACTGGACTTTTATGTTCCATTCTTCCCACAGAGCGCCGGAGTTTACTCGGGGACCGCGCACCGGCGCTTTTACCGGCAATAAGGTGCCGAGGGTTTAATCAAAGCCTCGGTAAACATGGCCCGGTTTTCATACCGTGATCGCGACCCGACGACTACGCGAACGCTTCCTTCGTTTCGTCTCTTCGACGGATGGCGTTTAATTGATGTGTACTTATTATCAGCCTCATTTTCTCGTTAATTCGTGAAAAATACGAAAAGCACGAAGGAATTGCATTTGCTGAAATTTCGAAGTTTCTCTATAGAATCTAGAGAGTCTCGTTCTTCGAGGTTATACGAAAGACTTCTTATTGCCGTTTTCCTCATGTCATGGTTTAAGACCCGAAACACAATGGGTGCAGTAAATCTTTGACAGTTCGCTCTTTATAAACCTGAAAATGCCACGTAATTTCTGGCAAAAGGCATTTCCCTTACTATCGGACTCAATCTTTAAGGTTTAAGCGCTGTTCTAACTTTTGGCAACGCAGGAAACGCTTTTTGCTAGAAATTACGTTACACTTGCAGCTTTAGAGCTAAAAGCTAAACTCTGCTTACTACACTCATTGTGTTGCGCGATGAAAGACTTATTTCAGAACTACAGAGTTTACATTACATTCTAAAGCCGGTATTCATAATTGTGAGATTATTCAAGGTCCTTGATTAAAAGGATAATTATAAATTCTTGCATTCCGAATCGTGAATCGACTGTTTGGATTAATGTCTCTTGTTAAGTGAAATTAATATAGAAACTACAATTTGATATACCTTCTCGTTTTCTAAGTGTTTTTCAAGCATCTTGTTTAGCGCCTTATGATTAATTTCACTTGAGATTGTTAAATTCTCTTTCGAAATGTTTATTTTCTACATGTGTCGACGTTTTTATATGTTTTTCCCCACTATATATAAAATATTTTGAATGTTATTGTTGGCTTTTGTAAGACGAATAAAATAAATTAACTAAGTGTCACGCTGTGATCTGGCGAATGAAACAAGGGGACCAAACCATAAGTACGAGGTCGAATAAAATTCGCAAAGTATTATTACGGAGTTATGGCGCACCAGATTAGCGCCACTTTAAGCCGCGGTAATAATATCGCTCGCGATAGATTTCGCGAGCCACGCTATCGGTCTTTAATTCGACTACTCGTATGTACAGTCAGTGATGCGAATTTGGTGACGGGCTTGCCAGAGAATTTCCTCCACCATGCACGCATATATAACCGGCTCGGTCCAGCCATGTGACAGTGTCAAATGCGTAGCTCACACGGATGAACTAAGCTGGCTGTGTGCGTGCGTAGTGGGGGAAATTCTCTGGCAAGCCCGTCACCAAATTCCCATCATTGTGTACAGTCGCGCGTCACGTTTACTTTACTCGCGGTCTTCAAATCATGATTTTTTATTGCTTTTGTTATCGAGATCTTTACATGTGTGTGTATGTATGTTTCGGACCATGGGTCTGTTAAAGTGGCCATTACAATGAGATCATAAACAATGCGAATCAATAAATCTCGTTAAAATCGCCATTGAATTTCAAATATTCGTATCCGTTTCAAAAATCAGAATTCGCGAAATGGAAAATGTTTTCCTCGGCAGTAATTCGCTCGAAGTATTTTTTCGATTTCGTTGAAGACGCGATCGCGATCTTTCAATTTGTGATCTGTTATGCGCGATTCGTGAACTTGTGCTTTTTTCACATACGATTAACGGTGAATTTGCGATTTCTTACGCGTCAATTGCGTTTTGCAATCTTTTACGAGTTTGGAAATATGAGAGTATATTTATAAAGACAATAGAAAGCGGTTTGTGTTAATGCCGCTCAGTTAAATCGTTAACCGTTGAACGCCGTTAAAGCGTTCAGATATGGACAACCGCGTCGCGGTGTGAATAGTGAAGTGTGGTCGACGTGGGACAGAAGCTGGAGGCAATAGCTGGAACTGAGGGTGAATGCGGAGGGTTGCAACGGCTACCTCAACGTCAACGAAGTCAACGAAGTAGTGAGTGCATAATTTCAGCGCTTACAGAGCGCACTTGTTTCGCATCCTTATTTATAAACCGTATTGATTTTTGACGAAAGAAGTTGAGGTATGTGCTATTGTGCCAGATTTTGGTCGCTTCGATTATTTATTTAATACACGAATAAGATCTGGCATGATTATTGTCTAATGATTCAAGTCTAAATGCGCGAATCGGCCGAATATTAATGCTGAGAGAATTTTACTTTACCTTAACTTGTTTACCTTAACTTGTATTATTTTTTTTTGTACTTTCGAAATAATTGGGGACATCATATTGAGCGAAATTTGCTAGTTTGATGCTAAATCAACATTTCGATTTGGATATAGAAATATTAAACGGGACTATTCAGATATGTAAATATTCGTATAAATATTTGCACAGATTCAATCAATGTAATGCCCAAATCATTTCGACAAGTGCATGTTACTATTTGACATACTTGCGACTTGTGCAAATTGTGCACACCATTGTCAAAAATTGAAAAATTTTTGCACAATGTGCGAAAGAAATACAAGAATGCTGCTATTTTGTATACGCATATATACATATCTAAGATTTTTTATTTTATATTTTTATGCTTATGATTATATACATTTCGTACACGTTATATATATAACGAAAGGAGTATCATGTAGATATTCCACAAAACTATTAGCAATTCTTTGAACGTGTCTATCTTGATGAAATTACCACGGTGGTTTTATATCACCAACCGACCGTTGAAACACGCGCGACCGCATTACAAAAAATCGTCGCGTCCACACAAATTCCACGCTCTTAAATCCCATAACGGTCACACGGGGATACGTATACATAACGTCGCGCGATGTTTTTTTCCGCCAGGATGGAACGCGAGCACGCGTCAGCTGTTAAATCTCGAGAACGTATC